ACAAATCAAGTCATTAACAAACAGACCTTTTGAAGAAAAGGGTTTATGTTAAATAAACCACATTTAATCGTTTTATTTTTTGATTATTTTCTAATTTATTTGAATTTGGTCATAGTGCAGACACTGGGTAAGCTGCAGGGAAGTGTGCTAAACTTTGACTCTGCTTCCTGGTCTGCACTCTGGGTTTTGAATGTCAGAACTAGTAGTTTAACCCTGTTATGCCATGATCATGGTTTTTGGACATTAGGAACCAGCGTCCATATTCCATCTTGACATGATGAGCAGATAAGAAGCCACAGCTTTCGTAAATAAACAGCTGTGGAATCTCTGCAACCCCCCCTTTTCAGCCAATGCCTCAAAAAGCAGTCACAGCAACTTCCAGAGGTGTGACTTGCCAGCCCCCTCTGTGTGAGGGCAGAGAAAAGCACAGACAACATAGGATTCTCTCTCTTTTCCTGCTCTCTTACCCTTGAAGCTTGGGTCCGCTTCGGCGGGATCTCCGTCAAGATGGGGATCCAAGACCAAGGGGACCCAAATCTCCATCATCAAGGATAGGTCAAAACCAAACTCCTGCAAAACAGAACTTTTGCAACACATTTCTATTGTGTTTCAGAACTTACAAAGCCAGACTGGATTAGAAAGCCTGACTTGATAAGCCACTAAGACAAAGAGGACCTCTACTGTGACCCACTGAGACAGAGAGAGGCTGCCTTGCTGTTAGCTGCCTGCTAAGCTGCTGGATGAACCTCAAGCCTTCCAATGGACATGGACAAAAAGGTTTGCAGGTCTGGCATAATTAGGGACAGAACAGACAATATGTCTTTTGATGATATTGATCATTTCATGTGTTTTTAGAAACATTTTTGAGCTGTTGTTGAAGCTTAGACAAGCTTTATTTCACTAAGGGTTAAACACTGATATAACATTGGTGTTCATGTGTTCCTCATATGCTCATTGCATTTACCAATTACCAAGTATGACCGAGAGTCATTTAGTGGAATCCTGATATCTATTTGCTACTAGCCATTTCAAAGAGGGTAAAGAATAATTTGACTAAAGGTTATTGGTTCTTGATTAGGCAATTAATTAATAAAACATTATTTGGCCAAATAATGTTTATTCACCTCATTGATTTGCATTGTGAATTGGTCTGAAAACATTTAAATTTCTCTAAATTAGTGAAAAGCTAATTTGATCATATCCCAAATTCTTCCAGATAAATTTTGGTTTTCAAACACAAAATGTACCTTAAACTGTACTATGGTTTTCAACCAGGTTTCCCCTTCCTCTTTATACATAGTAGTGTAGATTAGTTGAGTTTCACTAGTTTTAGTTAAGAGTGTTAAACTAGACGAAATATGTTTGACTTGGAGCTGAAAGATTTTTGATAATAAACGTATATATTTTTAACAAAGGTTGTGGTGAATTTATTCCATGTATGTGCAGAATTAACTGTTTGTTCATGATTAGTGCTCGAATCACTCTTTCATTTATTGTTCAAACACAAAGCTAGTAGGGTGTGTGTTCATAAACAATAGATAACACCCGAAATAATATCTGATTGAATAAGATATTTCCCACCCCTCCCAGGTAGGGCAATAAACATCTTAAAGTATCAGGCTGGGAATTGAATAGAACATAAAATCACAACAACGCAAAGATGTGTTTTCTAAAAACTAACTTTAAAAATTAATATTCTCAGTATTAGTTCTTTTTTTTTCTCCCAAATAATGTTAAAGTGGAACTGTTTCAGTAAATTCATGCTTTTAGAATAATTTTAGTTGTGAAACAGCCAGACAGTGACTAAGAGGAACAAGACAATGAAAGAAAATGCAAATGAAAGAAAGAAATGTCCCATGTTGACACGTTTAGTTGATTTCATTTCCCTTTGTTTAACGCAAAACCACCTTTACAACCTTTTTTTAATTATATGGTATAACTAGCATATGGTGCTTTGAATATTTAGACTTTTAAAGAAAACATCATAGACAATTTGTCTTGTTATTTGATTTTTGAAAACATACACCTTATTTAGGACTGACCAATTAACAATTTAACTCATTATATAAATGTTTAACAAAATGCGATTAATGTTTCAGTTTGAAAGCTATCTTTAAATTAGAGCTGTCATTCCATAAGTCAGTTGCTCTAACAGGTGTGGGCAATGTCGCTCCTCAAGTGGCACTTTGCAGCAGCTTCTGTATGCTTTTGCAAACAATTACCTCATTGGCATGTCTGTAAGTTTAGCAGAGGTCCGGCCATTAATCGTTCATTTGTTTCAGGTGTGTTGAAGAAGGGATGCGTGCGTTTTCTGAGGAATCCCAAACGCACTGACCACTTCTCTAAAAAAGGTGGCTATGCTATTTTTGCTGCATACAGCTCTATCCACGTCAGTCTAGAACAATGCAAAATGTTCAGGTACTCTGTTGATGGTATACTTCTCCTGTTGAATAACACGCAGGGTGAGGTGGAGAGCTTGATGGGTCTACTTGTTTCCCCTCAGCTCAGCTGTCTTTTGTTGGAGTTCACCTGATAGCATCCTTGTGCCTTTGGGTAAGGTAGAGGTCTTTCAATGCTGTTTCAGCCTATGGACTGAGCAAGGAAGGGGGTTCCAGGCCATTTAATGCCTGTTTTCCATCTGTAACTGATCTATTCAGGTAGGGTCAGTTCAATTTGCATTTATTCCTTTTCTTTTTACAATAAAATAGTATCTCAGTGGGGGCGGGATCTTCACTAGCAAGGCAACCCTGCAGTCAGGAGTAATTTAGTTTCCAGATACACCGCAACAACAGCCTGCTCCATTTATGGCTGTTGTCAGCTTCAGAGAGAGAAGAACAGCTTGATAAAGCAACAAAGATATGTAAAGGATAGAGATAAGCAGTGCAGTATGAAGGATATGAGCTACAGCACATGTAAAGATAAACTAAGGCTTTCTACAGCAGAACTGAATCTATTTAGAGAGAATAAACATTTGGATAACAGTGTGGACAAATGCATAGTTATATATTCATTCCTTTGCCTCAGTAACTGTACATGATTAACACAATGAAGACTATTCAGCTGCTCTCCTAGGGTAATCTGTACAGTGTCCCTCTATAGAAACATGAGAGTATACATTTTATATCACTAGAGAAAAACTTTATCAAGTTAAACTGATAATCAAATTACTGATTATTTAAAATATATATAGATATACCCTAAATAATCTGAATTTTTAAAGGTAATTGTATAAAATTGTATACAAAGCATTGCCTGAAATATTTTCCTTCAATTTAAGATGTTGCTAAAGGTGCTGCATGTATAGAGCTCAGAATATTCAAAACTGATGAACATAGAAATCAAGCAAGTCAAGTTCAGGACATTAGCATTAGTCATACATAGTACAAGTGATGAAATGCATTATTGTTTAACTACATGAGGTGGATTATGCCTGTATGTCCTGTCAACCAAAGGAGTACAGCTCCTAGCAGTGGCTAGGAATATCAGGAGGTCACTGGGGAGCAAAGTCCTTACTGGTCCTAGCTACTTCTTGACTGGTGGTAGTATTTGGACAGCACTTATTATGGTGCTTACTGATGCACTTCTGTGTCATGGCTTTAGTGTCCTTACAGATTTTAAGGGTATTTACATTGAGACTAAATTGACTCTAACCCTGGTTCTAACCAATATTAAGTTCACTGGGTCAATTGCTATAGTAACTGAGTAAAACTCAGAGCCAGTCACTTTATGAAATCCAAATAATAATAGATTTAGGCAAATAATTCCAGTTTAGGAACAAAGCCAGTTTTATAAAACATCCATCTGGTCATTGCTTTCCCTATAGTCTTTAGCCCCATAGTGTCTATTTCGGCCATGGAACAGACTGGCAACCTGTCCAGGGTGTACCCGACCTTTCACCTATAATCTGCTTTAGACCCATGACACCATGACCCATGACACCTGACAGATACAGTGGGTTGGAGAAGATGGATGGAGTTTTAGTTAAGGTGATTGACATTCAACCTTATTTTCTTGGAACCAAAAGCAACAACCCTTTGCTTCTCTGCATCAAAGTGGATCCAGATACTCCAATCTCTATAATTAGAGAGGGATCATTCAGATGTTGCATTAATGTGTTTATGCATGATGCATAAACTCCATACTGTTGTTTTGTAAGAAATTCATTAAAAATTCTTGGATCAAAACATTGATATTTTGATAACAAAATCCAAAATTGTAACCAAGCAAAGAATGGTACAATAGATGGCATTTTGAGAAGAGGAGTACTAAGAAACAAATAAACATGAACTGGGAGAATGACTGAGAAAAAAGTACAGTTAAGTTAAATACTAATACAGAGCACATTTAAATACATTAAAAAGGACCACTAAGGACATCTAGAGGAAACAACAAGAACTACAGAAATAGAAAACACCTCAACTGAATAACATTGATATGATTATCTATAAAAACCGCTCAGAAGGTCCAGAAAACACAAAAAGTAAAGCGTAAAAACCTAACTAGAATATAAAGGTATTCTACATTTATGTTATTATAAATAAATAATACAGTTTGCTGAAAAAAGGTCATGCAGATTAAAGGCCTAATTTTGAGTAACATTACTGGTACAGTTTTTTCTACTCTTCTTTCAAAAACACTGTGGATGTTACCTTTCACTGGATCCTGCATAGCTCTTCACAAAGACCAACAAACATGCACATACATGCTTCTACGTCATTAACCTAACATACAGTATATGTCTTTGGTATGTGCAAAGAATATAGCACCCAATAAATACCCGCACTTGTAAAGAAGGAACTTTCACTTAGAAAGGAAGGGTCCAAACTGAGATTCAACCACAGAACCTTCTTCCTGTTAGAAAACAGTGCTTCACTCAGCATATAAAATGGGAAGATGCCTCATGTTTTTTTCTTTTTAATTCAAGCCTTGTAAAAATACAGCAAACATCTTTTACATCTGCTTCAGCAAAACAACAACCTTTAGAAGATTTCCTCTACAGTCAAACTGTGGGAAACTGGTTGTTTTTTCTCAGTAACTAAGTAGAAAAGACGTACTACTTAGTGAAGGGGAGGTGTTCCGTCTTAGGCTGAGAAGTGACCACGCTCTCCTCACTTCCTTTTTCATCTTTGCGCCCACGGCTTCTGTTCTCAGGCTGATTACTAACAGGAACCATTTTTAAGTGTTCAGGGTAGTTTACCTGTACAAAGTAGCATCACAGCTGCTGTGAAGACATGAAAGCTGTTGTTGGACTGTTGATGGTCCTTCTTGAAGTATCACATGGTAAGTTCTTTAGGATTAAATTTTTATTTCATCTTCAAAAGTCAGTAACTTTGAAGACAAGTGTTCTTTGTAAAGGAAATCAACAAAGATCTATATCTATGACTGATTCTGGTAAATAAGATGATTACATAAATATTTTTGGCTCTAAAATACCTGTTTCAAACTAGTACAGTAGTTGTCTCATTCAAATTAATCATTTAAAAGAAACATCCTCCTCTGTGCTCTATGTTCTGGAAACTGTAGGCTTGCTTCAGAAAACTTTTTTTTTCCACAGACAAGCTGCAACTAGGTCTCATTGCTTTTGATCTTAGTTACTAAAGGGTAAAAAAAACTTTGTTCTTTTACCTTTTTGTTTCTAAATTTGCAGCGCTGGAAAGCAACTGTGATGGGCGAAAGAATAGAGCTAGGTGCTACGGAGCTTTGGGGGGAACTATGGCCCTCCAGCTGATGAATGATGCCTCAGAAATAAGCAGATTCACCTGGACAAAGGAAGCATCAATGGCTAATCAGTCAACTGAAAATATTCTTTATATCAAAAACAATATGATTATTTACAATTCTATGAGTAGCAGATCTGTCTTCATTCTTGGAAATGGAACCCTCAAGATCAGTAACCTCAGCAGAAATGACAGCGGTAAATATACACTTGAGATTTTTGATTCCAATGGCAAGAAAAACGGCACTCAGACCCTACATCTATTTGTTCAAGGTAAATCTTACTTTATTTAAGAATTTTTTTCCTAGTAATGAAGATTGATAAAAGCAATGTTTAAACATTTAATATTCTGATACCCTTCCAGTTTTAAGACCTACGGAAACATATTATTCCGTTCAATTTTTTCTATCTATATGTGTCTCTATCAGCTCCTGTGTCTTCTGTGCGTATCATCTCAAAGTGTGTGTCCCAGGGACTGATCAGGGCGTCCTGTCTCTCTGAGGTTGGCGACAGTCCAATGTACTCCTGGAATCTGGATGAGCTCATTCTGGACAGAAATACGGAAAATAGCACCATTATTCTGCGGCAAAACATCTCAGGATACCTGGTCTGCACAGCTAGGAATCACATCAGTAATGTTTCCAAAGGAGAGATGTTATCTGTCTGCCAAGGTCAGTCAACGAGTAAGTTTTCTTTATAGATAATGTCTTCCTCCCACAGTACTACATTACAAAATCCCCCAAAAAAACAAAACAAAAAAGAAATTGTTACCCCAGAAGGAGAGCATGCATATGTAGTAGCTGCAGTGTCTAATGTTTAGCCTGGCCATGCTTAGTTGGACAGAGTTTTAACATTCATGTAATCTGCTAAATGCATTCTTCCATATTAGGCATAAAACCCTTGAGCGCTAGAAAGACGACCAGGAACTAAGAGTAAGAGTAGAGTAAGATCTGATCATTTAATGCTCAGAGGCTAACCTAATAGAAAGTTAACAGTTTTTATAATTTTTCTTTAGACTGTTGTTAAACAAGTAATGTGAATTCTTCTCCATTAATCTTTAGTTGTGGATTTTTACTGCTTTTTAGATTGTAGTCACTGTGTCAGGCACTCATAGGTGGTGTGACTTTTGTGGTTTTTAGCTTCCTCAGAGATGGTGGATAGTGCACTTGTTAAAAGCCTGTGTGAACAAGTGGCAAGACATGTCTCTAATGTTGGATCTATGTTTTATCTTAACCGACACTAGACATATTTCCTAGTCCTAGGTTAACCACTAGTTTGCTAAGTCGACACCTAACCACACATTCTATTTGTATTTTCTTTTTTAAACAGATAGCTTGTAACGAATGAACACTTACAGTTTGTCATACTTTAAAGCTTGTATTGTGTTTATTATCAGATACAGGTTTCCCGAGAAAGGAAATAATTGACCAATCTTAGCATTGAATTGAAATCTACCCAACTGTTAAACAGCAGGAAATAATTGGAATTTAAAATGAAACTGTCAATAAGACTGAATTTAATGAACTGACATATTTCCGAGGGGATTGGATGCCTGTACATTTTAAGTGCTGAAAATGTGGGAACATTGGGGTCAGCTGCTTGAGTGCTACTTAATATTGTTTCCATACATAAAGCATTGACAGTGTGTGGAAACACACTTGTTCAATAATAGTGTCTGCAGTAAACACACTACAGCAATTAAAATCAACCAGTTTCAGTCATTCAATTCAATTCAATTCAGTTTATTTATATAGCGCCAAATTCACAACACATGTCATCTCAAGGCACTTTACAGTTCAACCAGATCATACAGTCAAATTGATACAAAGTTTTCTATCTAAGGAAAACCAGTTGATTGCATTGACTCATTGACTCAAATACAATCCCCCACACTAAGCATGCTTGTAGCGACAGTGGAGAGGAAAAACTCCCTTTTAACAGGAAGAAACCTCCAGCAGAACCAGGCTCAGTGTGAGCGGCCATCTGCCGAGGCCGACTGGGGTTCAAGGAGACAGAAGCAGAGATACAAAAAGCAGCTGTAAAAGGCGGCCCCGTCCAGGAAACACACAGCCAGGCAGACGAGCTCCAAGGCAGCTCCCATGCCAGAGGACGAAGAGAGCACATCCACTCAGTCACGGTCAGAGAAACAGGACCACACTGGAAAACAGGCCGATCTCCAACATCTATAAACAAGGGTGTTGATAGAAGCAGCACAGCTGATGTTTCTTTCCAGGATGACGTCACAGCCAAACAGGAACAGACGAGGCATTATGTTGGTTGTGGTTGATGGTTGTGATCAAGTGGAAGAAATAACAGAACAGTCAAAGACAATACTTTCTCCTCCAACCACAAAAAGAAAAAAAAAATTCTGATCAACCTCATGCAGACTTGCTGGTGGCTACTGTTTATGATAAATGAACCCAAAATACCAACATATACAAATAATGGTAACACCTTTGATATAGGGGGGAAGCAAATAGCAAAGAATAAACTGGCCACATCCCATGATGGCTTTGGGGTGTAAAAGTACACAATTTTACAAATAATTCAAAAGATACTGCATGCTCCAAAGTTGACTAGCAAACTCAAAATTAAAACTAACACTTTACCACACAAAACACATGCAAAGGAAAAATTCTGCAAGTAGCAAAATCAACTGCAAGTCAAGAAATGCTGCAAACTAGTGCGACAAGTGCTTTAGACCACTAGGCAGAGATTATTATCAACTCATATGCAGAGACAGTGGTACGAATTAATGTCTGTGGACCAGACCCTCTGCAAAAACACAATCCAGAGGACATCAGGAGTGAAGAACAAAAAGATAAAATTCCTTTCAATAGTTTTCAACACTTAATCTTAGAATCTTGTTTATGTATTTCCTGAGTGCCTGGTCCCAAATGAGATAATACAAGTCTCCCTCAAGTGGTCTGGAGCACAACCATGTGGAGCTAGCAAATTGCTGGTGTTTTTGCTACTTTTCTTGCACATGTTGTTATGTTGGCAGCTGCTCTTTATCTTCCGGGATACAATTTTTCCCTTTGCATGTGTTTTTTGTGTTTGTCTCATTTTTGTTCTGTTTATTGAGTTTGCAGGACCTTTTGAATTCACTATGTAGTAAGTAATGTTTTTACATGGCATTTGCACTCTTTAGTCACTTTGCCCATCCAACACTTTCTAATGATAACACTGGCTTGCAGACAAGGCTGAAGGAATAATGGAAAAGTCAGACCATTACACAACCAGAGGGTGGGATTGGGGTGTATAAGATTTTTGGTTTTGGGTTGATTAGTATAGTTTCCATCTACTCTATTATTAAATAGAATTCTTAGAAGTGTTTGACACTTCACTTGTAATTAGTTTTAAAGTCATTTTTCTAAATTTACAGATAAGGGAACTCACTGTGACATTACAGAAGAGGAGTTTGAGTGTTATGGAGCTTTGGGAGGAACTGTCGTCATTCAACTGTTAAACAACACTTCAACAACGCCCAACTACCAATGGAAAAATAAAACAGCAACAATCATAAAGGGTAGAGGGAACAGATTCATCCCAAATGACATTGAGGGGAGATCTCTCTTTCTCCCTGTGTTTGGTACGTTCAGCATCATGAATCTAAGCAGAGCTGACGGTGGTGAATATACCTTGGAAATCTTTGATTCAAATGGACGGAGAACTGAACAGAGGACTCTTCAGCTAATTGTTCAAGGTAAATGTTTTTTCTCACTGACACACAGATCTTCAGCTAAGTTCTTAGTAATTTCCATAGTATATCAGGTATGTTAGCTCTAATCTGTGCAAGTTTCTGTAAGGACAAATAGATATTTCTCTTTCAGCTCCTGTCTCATCAGTCCAGCTGGTCCCTGAATGTTTGTCTCAGGGACAGATGAAGGTGTCCTGTCTCTCAGAGAAAGGGGACAATCCTCAGTACAGCTGGACATTGGATGGACACAATTTGACAGACTCTGAGCTCCTTTCTGGAAACAATGAAACTAAGGAAATTATCCTGAGGCAGAACATCTCAGGACGTCTGGCCTGCTCAGTTTGGAACCGGTTCAGTTCCCTCTCAAAAGAGGAGACCATATCTACATGTGGTAAGTAGCGATATTGAAAAGAAAATGAGATACCCTGTGAATATTTTAACAGCATAATTGAAACCATGTCTTGTTTTGGCCTCTCCAAGGGTTCATATTTATCAACTGCACTTCCAATGGGACAGAGATATCCAAGTGGGTGTTTGCAAAAACTAACAACCTTTGTGTTGAACCAGCTGCATTCGGTGAGCCAGTTAGTGTAGTTTCCTCCAATAATAATACAATCTTAATTCAAATCTCTGCCGTAAAGATCTGTGTTTTCTTATCTCTCAAACAGACTTGTCGACAGTACTGGCTGTAATACTCCTGGTATTAGTATTTTTCCTAGCTCTTGGAATAGGATTTGTCTGCTTCCAAAAGAAGGGTTATATATACAAAGGTAGTTATCAAAATTCAAAATAAATAAAATCTCTGTTAAATTAGAAGAAAATACCATTTAGTCAGTGGGATTATAACATGCTTTTTCTCTGTTCTGCAGTGGAGAAAGACAACAGTGAACCAGTTTATGCTGAGGTCCAGGTTGGGCCACAGCAGGATAGGCAAACAGAGGAAAATGCTGAGGACGGGGTGGAGTACAAACGAGTGACATTTACAGAGCACCCTCAGCAGATGGTGTTGACCACAGAAAGTCCTGTATATGCACAAGTCCGTAAAGTTAGATGACCCGTGTAACTTCAATCTACCCTACAAAGACTTTACTACCAAAAACAGATAGACAGAGTTAAGATGGGATCCCAAAGTGTCACAAATTTTTATTTTTCTCTTACTTTTTGGGTCTGCTCAGGTGAAATGGCACCATGGTATTCTAGTCTTGAAGTTTTATTGGTGCCTTAAGAAGCTTTAGGTGTAGTAGCTTTTAGAAAATGGTTTTGCAAAACATAAGCCCCCTTGGAAATTATTTTCTGGAAAACATACAAGCAGTCGTAAAGGGCACTTTATGGATCATTCTGTGATTTGTATAATTCAAAGACAGTCTGTGGTGAGATTACATGTTTTCACTTCTGGAGCATGTTGATCAAAACCTGTAGAGATGGTCTGAAAACAAAATTACAAAATATTTTAGTCCATTTTGCAAAAAAAGATGGAAACATCTTCTACGAAGCTAAGTGAACAAATGACTTAAAAGGCAGCGAGATATGTATATGGAGTCCATAAGATGACTTGTTTCTGTTATATCAAGATATTATATTTCAAGATAAAGCTAGGCTCGAACTAGAGGTAAAAGGGCATCCTGGCTTTACAAAGTCCAAGCCAGGCTCCACATCAAGCCAGCTGTATCTAATCCAGCTAATTGCAGGTCTGCCATTTTCTTCAGGAGGTGAATCATAGATTCCTTGATTCAGCAAACAATACAGTAGCAGATTGACTAAATGCCTAAACAGCATTAAATACATATTCCATTACCACTTCTCTTAACTAAAAACATCACAATTTAAAGATTTATAACGAATTATTTAAAGAAAAACAAACAGTGGAAGCCAACATGGTAACAAATGCAGATCATAAAGTTAATACATTTGTAGTGTTGTGGTTTAAATCTTTGCCTTTAAAGTGGTAGACTTGGGACTGAACTCTGGACACTTCATGAAAAGCATCTAGTGTTAAAATCTTCATTTAACATCAGATATATTTTACCACTTTTTATGTTACAACATTCAAAATCACCTTTATTTGCAACAGGGGGGTTATATCTTAATACATTTAACATTAGGGAATCCTGTATTATACTGTATATAAAAAAGTAATACACCTGTTCCACATTGTCCTTTATGATGAGCAGTCATATCCATGTTATGTTGACTGATGTACAGTAGTTGATTCTTTGGTGACGGGAAAGCTTATGAAGATGTGCGTCTTATAATTTTATCGGGGGCAAATACTTTCTCAAGACACTATAATTCAAACCCTACTAAAGTTCCCTGACATTAATCACTTTATATGTTTTCAATATGAAAGTAGTGCTACTCACCTTTCTCTATGTCTTCATCAAAGAGTTTATATTTTATTACAAATATCTGTATTTCAAACCATCATACAAGATTCTAAATAAATTCCTGCTTGTTGGGGATTCATTTCCAATGGTTTGGCCCATAAGTGATTAAAGCCTGATGTTTCTTAGATAAAGTTATTTAGATCCCAATTTATGAACATGCACATATAGCAAGCGGTAAAAACAAGAGACATTTCCCTTATAACCTTAAAACATGAGCTAGAATGTCAGTGCACTGATCCCATATGAGTGGGGAAGAGTAAAACCTTTAGAAGGAAAGGAGCAAATCTAAACAGTTAAAAACAATCGCCTCATCCAAACAAACCGCATTATTTGGAATGGATGAAACTGGATGCAAAAACACCCCTATTCTTATTAATCTATAGCATTCTTTCTTGTTTTTTTTCTTCAGCCTTAAATCTGTCAGCTCTTTTCTTTTCACTCAACTGTTTGGGTTACTTTAACAGGGTATCTTAATGTTATGAGCTACCTCATCAATCTGAATGTACAGTCACCTTCTCACTAATGGTTTTAAAGAAACCTTATTAATTGCTGTTGCTGTGCATGTTTTCATCTTTTATGTTGAAATAAAAAACTAAATATGTCAATGACACAGAGAAAGTGGGTTTAAGTGGTGAAGATTCTCAGTCATCCATCATTCAAAATGACTATAGTAATTCAGCATTCTATTATGCAATTAACACCCTAAGCTTAATCAATTAAAAAATAATGAAAAATAATGAGACAAATACTAATTTATTAGCAGGACCCAGTTTTAATAAAATTTTTTTAAATATGTAAATCATACATTTTGATGCATTTATTCTGACTTTCATATAGAGTTTATATAAAGATTTCTGTTACAGGTCCATCTTTTGTACCTTTGACAAAAATATGCCTCTCTCTCTCTCTCTCTCTCTCTCTCTCTCTCTCTCTCTCTCTCTCTCTCTCTATATATATATATATATATATATATATATATATATATATATATATATATATATATATATATATATATATATATATATATATATATATATATATATATAAACATTTAAAGTGGAAAAAAACATGAAACTATCCAAAATTATTTATTTCTTAGTAATTTAGATTCGTTTTTTGAGTTGCCATTGTTTATGATCAAATGTCAATGATGGAACCAGGAGCGACTACCCCCTGATGTCACCTGCATGCTACAGAGGTTCCTTAAGCAGCCGACCGATAGTTAACTCTCTCTTGTATGTGGCTCTAACGGCCTTGATAAGAGAGATATACGCCGGATTTCAGCTCAGGCTACGTCCATGGCCGCTAAATCCTCTCCGGAGAAGAGTCAGTGTTCGCTGGTCGAACCAGAATTCACCCTTGCCAACCAGTCATAGGGAGCCGAACGTAGTGCCTTTCTCTTCCTGTGGCACAAACCAAGTTGAACGCAGTAGTTTGTGAATCTGCCTGGTGAAGCAGATGAAGAACTACACAGTTTTGTATAACTGAGCCCACATTTGCTGCCCACAGAAAAGCCTGGCCCAATTGCTGTTGGCCCCTGGCAATCTGTTTCGCCAGATCTGTTTCTGGTTTTTTTCAACAGAATAACTCAAATCTCTACAAGAGCTGTCTGTTGAATGAGAAGACTAAGTTTTTGAGCCAAATCAAGACAGACTTCTTCCCCCTTTTTCCGAGTGGGACCGATTAGAACCAAAGCCCTACAAACCACTTTTCCCCTCTGTTCATCGGATGCTTAACAGATACTCTGTTTAGCGAGAAATGTGGTGTAATGCTATGTGGCGCCTTTTATTTTAAATTAGGTAGAATTTTTTTTTTTTTAAGTGTGTTTGTGTTATATCTGAAAGAAGCTTTCTGTTTCAACTTTTGATGGTTCTTAAGTAAGAGTTTTGAACTGAATGCTAATGCTCATTGAGTCTGACTGAACTATCCATGCTGTTTGTTACTGTCTGCTTAATTCCTCCTTTTCCATATGTTTCAAGTGTAAAGCTCCGTTTATGAGTGAAGTCTCAGTGCATACAGAATTTCTGCAGGGAGCTCCTAGGAAAATGTGGAACTACACGGACGGATGTGCGTGGAAAACATGGCGAGCGATCTGCAACTCCTCCTGGGGAGGGTTCGCAAATGTAAACATCTAGAGACATCCTGTGATTTAGCTCATAAATATCACCACTATCAACATATTTTGGTAAAACTCCAGGAAATTAATAGCTGTCGCTCTCGAACGGTATGAAGAGGCTTTGATAAAGAAGCAAATGGCTGTGTTTTCTATTTCCTTGTTTAGTGTGGTGTTGTCAGCTTGCTGTTTTTGAAGAGCAGTCAGGAGCTAGGGGAAAGCCCCCAGGGTATAAATGCAGCAGACGCTCTGACGGGCTGATTTTTCAAGCTGAATGTTAGTGCATCAAGCATAATGAGACCTTTAGGCTACTATGGTTGGATTAGCTAGCATCTTTAGCTTTAAACTACCTCATTGCCAGCCCCATGGTAGCAGCCATTTTGTGAGTCATCTAACCCATTTGTTCTAGCTGGCCCATCCGGTACCTGATGTTCTGCACCATCTGAACTAAAACATTCTGTCCAGTGTCACTATTTTAATGCATTCCTGAGTGATTTTCATTTTTCACTGTAAGACTGAATGAAATCTTATTGTTTTGTTAGCATTAAATATCTGCATCAGGGTTATTCACATTTATCTACTGCTATTTTAAAGGACACCCTAAATGCATTAAACCTTAAAACTTGAACATACCTCAGAAATTATTTAATGGACTCTTAAAACCTTTTTCCCCTTTTATATTTGCTTTTATTTACTTGTGCTTATTTTAAGTAGTGTTTTGTGATTGCATAGTCATTAGATACAATAATACTGTGATAGAGATTATTGGTTAACAAAGGCACCAATTTAACCCATGATCTTTGTGGTTAGTCTATACAGTGAACAGTTTATCACTCAGGCCAGATCCTCTTTCCTTTGGTTAACATTTGAATGAACAGAGACAGATTAATTTGGTTGGTGATAGATAACTCTGCTACGGAAGCATATTGTTTTCACCGAAGAAAAAAAAATCTGACAGCTTATCTCATAATTACGAGATAATATCTCGTAATTATGAGGTACTGATCTCGTAATTATAAGATAAGCTGTCAGATTTTTTTTCCTTCGGTAAATGCAATACGCTTCCGTACTCTGCTAATAGCAATATTCTAAATTACTAAATTGGTGGAGACAACTGGATTTTAAACAGCCAGTAAAGTAGTCCAACCTTATGTAAAAGACTAGAACCCTGGTGGGTGAGCAAATTACAGTTATAATCATTTAACTAATAATCATGAATTGGTTTTACCCTCAGTTTAAATGTTCTATTAATTAACTATAACTTACAGCTATGAATACTTATTATATTGATAATCATAATTGACTTCAGTCCTGAGGCCTATTTCATGAAAGATAAGGGATTAAGTCAGGATTTTCCAGATATCCTGAGGCCTTTACCAGGAAGCCAGCTCAACATAGCGGGATTAGTCCCAGTCTATCCAGTTTATCTAATCCACCACAATGGTAATCAGGATAAGCGGTACCACGAATCTGGTTATCACCTTGCTGACTCAATCAAGCTTGAACTGTTTATGAATCTGTGAACGCACACATATAAATGGGCATGCTCAAGGTAGAAAACCAATCACAACCATGAGCGCAGAAGGGAGACTGCTGAATTTCTCATGTGGGGAACAAAAAAACATAGTTTACAGAAATAGGAAGCGAAAAAACAAGTATCAGTTAAACAACAAACACGGTGGCAGCATGACAGAGGAGGCAAATAGAGTGAAAAGGATAGCTGACTGCATAAATTAGGGAGTTACACATCAGTGTAATTTAACACAGCCAACAACCCACTAACTTTACTACATCTTAATCGCATTCCCCTCTGGAGTGAAGAGGACTTGGGAGCATATAAAAATAAACACAAAAACTTAATTGCATCTGGTTTGTTGGACTTTTTAATTTGCTACAACAAAGCTGGAAGCTGATGCCACGATTGCATCATATTAATACAAGAAGTGGATCATCTGAGTAAAATCATCCCGATACCTGAGCTGTGTCAGAACTTTTTACTTTTAAACTGGTGCTGTCTATTAATACCCCATCAGAGTAGCTGCAGTCAACATCTAAAATTCTCATCTATACTGTCACAGCAAAAAAAAAAAAAAAAAACTCTTCCTCACCATTGTGGGCAGTCTTCCCCTTTTTTTTCCTTCAAGCCTGTGTCCTTTCCCAGAGGCCTGGAAACTTGAAGGTTCTGTGCAGTATCTTTGCTGTTCCTAGAACTGCACTCTTCTGGACTGAGATGTCTGATGTAT